AAAAATGCTTGTATGCGATTGAGAAAAACTGTAATACTGGAGAGGAGTCACACATACATTGAGATAAATGGGGATATTCTTGGAGTTAGGTTCCCAGGTATTGATGGGAAGAAAGAGCAACCGTCTAGAGATGTTCTCTGTGGGCGGAGACTGAGAGGTACTAATGATTACAAATACCAGACTAGCTACTGCCTCACAAGGCTTAGAATAGAGAGCCACACTACCCTCCTCCCAACCACTGGTCCAAGTCTGATATCCTCCTCATGGGTATAAGGTCAGGATTTTGGTTTGGGTAATTAGGGTTAGGGGCAACTTCTATAACCCTGACGGTTATTTCTGCTCATGTGGATGACAAATATCTTGTTTCTCTTTTAGCGCTAAGCTAATGGCCAGTCTACACAGTATTTTGTTCTGGACAAAGTACAAATTAGCATCAGCATGGTGTGGCGCATGGCAATTATGGATGTGAGATACGTAGATGATAAGCATCAACTGTGTGGCCAAAATCAAATGGAGGACGTGGGTCAACAGTGTCATTATTTTGCGTGGAAATTTGAGCGTATGTGTCTGCTCAAACCCTCATGTCTCAGACAAGGTTACTGTCATGTGATGGTAGTTCAAAAACAATGTTGGTGCACATTTAACCATTACTACCTTGGCTATAGGAAGATTGGGTAAAAGTACTGTAATTAACCAGGCAGATTGTTAAGATCAACTAGGCACTCTGTTTAAATGGCACTCTTACTAGTCACTCATTTATGGCCATTTGATATGACTGCAAGCTAATGATGTTGATTTGACATTATGTGACTCTGCCAGCAGCTGCATGTCCTTTCAGTTTCATTTAAATGAGGACTATTATTGACACAGCGCCATTGAGAAACTGTTCCCTCTGAGTGAGAGATGAGTCACCAGGACAGTGATTATAGAGCGGAGGTGTCGATGTTGACTCCTGTAGATTTTCATCCTCTGAATTAGTGTCTGATCTAGACCTGAGATATTGAAAGGTTACGTTACATATGTAACCAAGGTTCTGTGAAGGAACAGGTGAGACACCGGTCACTCTTTGGGAAATAATGCTGGGAAAACATATATAAGGCTACATGGACTAAATGTCCAGTTTTGCAGACAGATGTCCAGGATTTCAGCCAATGACAAGTAAGACTGATTGTACAAGCCTCCAAATGCTCTCTAGGAGTAGTTTGAGAACACTTGTTACCATTTTCTGCACCTTTTTAATAAGTGTCTGAGTGAGGGTGATACATCTAGGCTACTTTCAGCTCACAATCATGTTTATCTTTACAATCCCAGCTATAGAGTACATGGAGATTTTCTCCCGCCGACAACCAATTTCATGAAATGTGAATTTTTCTGACGATCAGTTCGTTTGGAGTCCTTTATAAGATTCCATTAACTGAGCGATATTAATTTAGTAGGCGTTTCATGGGAAATTATTTTCTCAGCAGGGAATATCGGTTCAAACAGCAATTTTTCTGATATCGTCATTGTGACTGTGGTGCTTAATCTGTCTTTCCTCTGTTCCTGGTGTCATTGGAACAGCTGGGTGCCCCTGTGTGACTCAATGGGATCCGAGATTCCGAGCTCCAGTTCTTTTCAACTGAGTAAACTGCTTCTCACTCCTATTCAAACATCCCAGCTTATCTTCTGCAGGGGGAAAATAGGCTGTTCCAGGCAATTGCTTCTGAAAGGAGGGAAATGGAAAGTGAACAAGATATGGCATTTACAGATGTGGCTTGGTTGTTAGAAAATTGGAAGGAAGATGTCATGTTTGTTTGAAAAGGAGCTGTTGAAAGATCTATGCAATACAACAAACTACGATATATAGCTAACTGTGACAAACTACATTTGAAGGACCTGGTGGATGAAGGCTGAAAGACCGTTCTATAAGGACCTGGGCTTGGAGACTTAATAAGGCCTACCCAGTTAGTCAGATATGAGTAAACTGTAGTGCTTTACCACCACACACGATATCTGTTTAATGCTAAAATATAGTGTTGAAGTTCGGAAGTTTACATTCACCTTAGCCAAATACATTTAAACTCAGTTTTTCACAATTCCTGACATTTAATCCTAGTAAAAATTCCCTGTCTTAGGTCAGTTTGGATCACCACTTTATTTTAAGAATGTTAAATGTCAGAATATTTATATATAATATAAAAATTATTTATTTCAGCTTTTTTTCTTTCATCACATTCCCAGTGGGTCAGAAGTTTACATACACTCAATTAGTCTTTGGTAGCATTGCCTTTAAATTGTTTAATTTGGGTCAAACGTTTCGGGTAGCCTTCCACAAGCTTCCCACAATAAAAGTTGGGTGAATTTTGGCCCATTCCTCCTGACAGGTTTGTAGGCCTCCTTGCTCGCACACGCTTTTTCAGTTCTGCCCACACATTTTCTATAGGATTGAGGTCGGGGCTTTGTGATGGCCACTCCAATACCTTGACTATGTTGTCCTTAAGCCATTTTGCCACAACTTTGGAAATATGCTTGGGGTCATTGTCCATTTGGAAGACCCATTTGCGACCAAGCTTTAACTTCCTGACTGATGTCTTGAGATGTTGCTTTAATATATCCACATAATTTTCCATCCTCATGATGCCATCTATTTTGTGAAGTGCACCAGTCCCTCCTGCAGCAAAGCACCCCCACAGCATGATGCTGCCACCCCTGTGCTTCACGGTTGGGATGGTGTTCTTCGGCTTGCAAGCTACCCCCTTTTCCCTCCAAACATAACGATGCTCATTATGGCCAAACAGTTCTATTTTTGTTTCATCAGACCAGAGGACATTTCTCCAAAAAGTACGATCTTTGTCCCCATGTGCAGTTGCAAACCGTAGTCTGGCTTTTTTATGGCAGTTCTGGAGCAGTGGCTTCTTCCTTGCTGAGCAGCCTTTCAGGTTATGTCAATATAGGACTCATTGTACTGTGGATATAGATACTTTTGTACCTGTTTCCTCCAGCATCTTCACAAGGTCCATTGCTGTTGTTCTGGGATTGATTTGCACTTTTCGCACCAAAGTACATTCATCTCTAGGAGACAGAACGCGTCTCCTTCCTGAGCATTATGACGGCTGCGTGGTCCCATTGTGTTTATACTTGCATACTATTGTTCGTACAGATGAATGTGGTACCTTCAGGCATTTGGAAATTGCTCCCAAGGATGAACCAGACTTGTGGAGGTCTACAATTTCTTTCCTGAGGTCTTGGCTGATTTATTTTGATTTTCCCATGATGTCAAGAAAAGAGGCACTGAGTTTGAAGGTAGTCCTTGAAATCCATCCACAGGTACACCTCCAATTGACTAAAATGATGTCAACTAGCCTATCAGAAGCTTCTAAAGGTATGACATCATTTTCTGGAATTTTCCAAGCTGTTTAACGGCACAGTCAACTTAGTGTACGTAAACTTCTGACCCACAGGAATTGTGATACAGTGAATTATACGTGAAATAATCTGTCTGTAAACAATTGTTGGAAAAATTACTTGTGTCATGCACAAAGTAGATGTTCTAACCGACTTGCCAAAACGATAGTTTGTTAACAAGATAATTGTGGAGTGGTTGAAAAACGAGTTTTAATGACTCCAACCTAAGTGGATGTAAACTTCCGACTTCAACTGTAAATGTTTCTCTTATAATCAGCATTGGAAATGTATGTTTTTGTACATTTTACATAGCAAAGTCAGGGGTTAGTCCCGACCGGGGCCTGAACCCATGCTACTGTCAACCCAACACCTTAGCTGTAATGCCAAGACGTCCGAATGTCTTGAGGTCACTATTGGGTTAATAAGGGCTACTGAATCAAAAACAAGATCACTTGGAGGCCATCTGGAACGCAGAAACTAATTCACTGCAGATAATTGGCGAAATTCACTAATAAACACACCATTGGATGGACTTGAATGGTCTGAGAAAAGCAACAGAAAACAGAGCAGGCACATATAAAGTGCATGATGGCTTTCCTCTCGTATTCAATTAGTCTGTCACCCCTCAGGAGTGAAACTGAGATTGGCCAGGGAACAAACCCTCACTTCTCCGCTATAATCGCAGATGTGAGCGTAGCTTTCTGGCACAAAATGGCTTCCGTGTGTCACACAGGTGAACGCTACATTTTGGAGCTGGATGAGGTAACACTCCCAATGCAAAGCACACAGAGACCAGTAATGAAAAGCATTATATGTAAGAATGCAATCCAATATCATGAATATCCTGTTTCTGATTAAACTCTTGAGAATAGCATTAGATTTGGTAAATAAGATCATGGTACAGTGTGATGCTCTACCTTTAGAATTGTAGAGTTGATAGACCATAAGAGGGATTTCAGCAACAGCTGCTTGAGTTTGGCTACAGTCTGCAATATCCCATACTGTTGATGCTATCTACAGGCATGCGGTGCTACTTGTGACTGGTCCTTGATTGTTCTAATGTCATGCAGTCTTCAGTTACCTCATTAGGCCCTACTGCAGGGTTCTTCAATTCCGGTCCTGGAGGGCCGAAACACCTCTGTTTTTCATCCTCTCCTTCTAATCAGGGGCTAATTCAGACCTGGGACACCAGGTGAGTGCAATTAACTACCAGGTAGAAATAAAAAAAACTGAAGTGTTTCGGCCCTCCAGGACCAGAATTGAAGAACCCTGCCCTACTGTATTACTGTAAGTCCTATTTCGATTGTGATACCTATAACTTCAAAAAGAGAAAAGAACCTATAGAATTAGAATAGACTTTAACCTTATGTCAGGGAGTTGGTCAACCATGGTTTGCCAGTGCTGTGATAAGATGTGTAAGATGTGTGTTAGTTAGCCATACAGTTTTAGAGGAATCATTCCTTAAAATGTGTAAAATTAACTGCCAATATGCCAACATTTCATTCAAACAACGCAATCAATCCACAGCCATACACTGGCTCAAATCAGTTGATAGGGCTTAGACAAGCTGTAAATGCAACAAGTACTGATAATGTATTATATACATAAAAGAGGCATTCGAATAAAAAAGTTGTTTAATTTAGTCATCATTGCTGCTACAAAGTAAAAAACCACACAAAGACACAGAATACAAATTGATAGTGACACCCGCCCCTTTTGAGAAGACCATGAATTTCATTTTTGTTGAGGGATCAGTAACAGTCTATATGTGAGTCTGTCCGTCCAGTTGGTGCACTTTGGTCCAGGTCGATGCAGTCAATTCATGATTAGTGGACATGAACTTCATTGAAGGACAAAGGGGCGAGTGAAGGGTCTCCAAAAGGGTCAGGGGTAACGATCATCTAAAAGACGTGGCACAGGATCATCTGGATGGCGACAAGAAGGGGGAAATACAAACTTGTTAAGCCTCAGATCACATTGTATGAGTAAAAGAGTGAATTGGATCCCACTAACACCACCATTTGTCACTTGCAATGCTAATGGTGCTGCCGTCTTCCATTAACCAATTGACACTTGACCTTTCTGTCTTACTAGAGAGGATATCTGGCGCCACCTTCACTGAGCACACAGGGTTAGAATCGCTAGAATCTAAGTCGAACTTCTGGTGGTTCTCAAAGACAAAAGAATGTCCTTCGCAAACCCTCATATTATACTCTGTGTAAAGTGGAGCTGTTTTCGCAGAATTCTCACCTATAACACTCTGATACAGTAGATTGCGCTATGCACTATGGTGCAATGCGCTCCTATCGCCAGCTAGTCTCTCTTGCTGGTGAGTTGTTGATGTGTGGCTGCACTGCTAGTTGGCTACATAGCTTACTTTGTTATGACTTGGCATTACAATTATTTAATTCCATAAACAAAAAAGTAATGTTGATTTTGTTAACTCAAATACATGAATGGGGTTTGCTACTAGCAACTAGGCAAAGTAGGCTAATTTATAGAACGTTACATTTCTAGCTAACATTAGCTAATGGGCTAACAAAGCTACTGTAGGAGATGTAACCACATGCTAGGCAGCTAGCTAGCCTGGTAATGAGCCTGGTTTTCTGACTGGCTGCTGGTACCTGGCAGCTCACTGGTGGAGCATCACTTTCCGGGGCTTCCTCACTCCTGTGTCTCCATGCTTTCATCCTCTACATCTCCTCCTTCCTCCAGCGCCTCATCCTCCTCTTCCTTCCTCTCTGGCGGCTTCTCATAGGCTTTCTCAGAGGGTGTGACGATCACGCCGTCCCAGGTGGACATTTCCGAAGCCAGGTCTGGGAGGGTGAGGTAGATTTGTTTAATGTTTACTTTGAGAAAAAGGGTGAGGGAGCGAGGAGGAAAAGAGGAGGTACTCACAGTTGGCATCACCCTCCAGCCCCAGTATCTTCCTGTACCCTCCATGAGAGAGGACCCTCACCAACGTCTGAGCAGTGAAACACACCATGTCCTACAAAAAACAGACACTTTTTCAAACACATATGATCACGGAAACTAAGAATTGGGTGTTTTAGTGCTGGACTGGAGCAAACCCTGTCACCAGGACCAAGGTTCCCCACCCCTGCACCATGAAGGCAGCTAAAGCAAAGTTATTACCTGCTGCTCAAGGGTCATAACGGTGTGCACCCGGAAGTTTCCACTCTCACAGGGGTCAGTGATGCCCACTGAGCCTGGCAGGAAAAGTCCGGCGGCCAACATCTGTAGGCAGCGTCTGAAAAGAAAAAACATAAACAACAAAAATGAAGGCACCGCCAGCAAAGTATCACAATGTAAAGTTTTGGAATTGAGACACTGTCAAAGACACCTACAGTTGAAAAACTAGGTGCTTACACTTAGGGAAAGACTGGTGTCCAATACAAATAGTAGAAAATGACAGTGGTATGTGGTAAGAAATACATGTATAACAGAAAAATAACTATATCTAATAGTAAGTCGTAAGAAAACTACATCAGATAGATGGAGCACTGACTGAGGAAATGGGGAGGCTCACCTGTAAGCCACATTGAGTGACAGGGGCTGCCTGGATGGGTTGTTCATGACCGCAGAATGACCCTGAGAAGAAACATGAAATGCTTTCAATTTCTTATTCATTCCTCCTTTAGATACGCAGTGATGCGATACAAGCTTTCAGTTAGGAACAATACAATAGCAAAGACAGAGAATCACCCAAAACATAACATATTAGCCAGGTGACTTGCTCTGTGTGTGGTAATTCACAACAAACGAAGAGCTAAATCATCTATTATCATTCCTCTCCAGGTGCCAAGGTTCACCAGTATAACATGCTAATGGTTTACCAGTAGTTGTGTTAATGGTAGATGTAGTGTCCCCACCAGTATATCCACTATAACTGAACATTAGCATAACTATGATGAATGCAGTAGGCTTACTAGTATCACATGTTAAGTATTGAGTTGTAATAATGGTGGATGTAGTGGCCAAACCAGTATATCCAGTATAACGGACTCACCAGTAGATCCAGGATCCAGGGAGTGAGAGGTTCGAACCCGGGGAAACGCACCCTCAGATCCTTCAGCAGGCGAATCAGCACTTTCACCCTAAACAACAACAATAACCAGGACATGAGTTAAACACTTTTAAGAAGTTAGGTTAGTCGGCGCTGTGCTGTATTGCCATTTAAAATATACACAGGATAATAAAGGGAGACAGTCTTTATCAAGACAAAAGTCATTATGGCTGAAACATTTAGGATAAAACATATATTCTTCCTTTACTTGTGAGAAATATTGTGGATGTGAAAAGTGAAAGGTTAAACAAATAAAAGGACACGGAGGACCTATTACATAATTTGGAACATTCTGAGGAGATATCGGTTTGGGAGGGTAAACGGGGTGAGAGGTAAAAGACCAAAAGGTTTATGGTTTTAAGGGTAAAAGGTGTCTTACGTAGATTGGGAGGCGTTCTCCTCAAACCAGCGGGCATGGCGGATGGCGGCCAGAGCACTCTGCAGCACCTTGATGTCCACTGGGGAGAAAGAGACCATATCACCAACACCATTATAACCACTTTCAGCACCAGATAATAAATCTACATTAAAAACACACACACACGCTGCCTCCAGTCTACAATGAATGGATGCAGAGCTTTGTGCCAATCACAGCGCATCTATGTGAGTGTTTTGACTTCTTTTTATGTAGATCTATGACTGTAGTTATTACATTTGACATTTTAGTCATTTAGCAGACACTCTTATCCAGAGCGACTTACAGTTAGTGAGTGCATACATTTTTATTTATTTTTCATACTGGCCCCCCGTGGGAATCGAACCCACAACCCTGGCGTTGCAAGCGCCATGCTCTACCAACTGAGCTACACGGGGCTCTGTTGCGACAGACTTGGGGCTAGGAGTATTTTCAGGGGCAGCTCATGTTAACATTCTATCACATTGTAGTGTGTGTGTGTCTGAATGTACATACAGTGCAGTTCGGGGTCCAGCTTGCGCAGGTTGGGGGGAACGGTGGTGATGAGGATTTTCACTGTGGCATCGGCAGAGCTGATCTCAAAACCTGTCTCATTGGTCAGCATGGAGAGAACTAGGACAAAGAGAGAGAGTCCGTTGGCAACATTAGATCATAACCACTGAAGATCAAGAATACCCTGTATCCTATAACCCAGCATGCCTACATTATCCTTGTATTTACACTTTTGTATGAATTTAACACTAAACAACATGGCACGATAAATCAAAAGCTAAATAGGAGTAGAATTGATGCTATTGAAAGCTAAATCTAACTTCAGTGACTTATGTTGCAATGTGGCTACATGAAAACTGCAATTGTGTAATATACAGTGGCCTCCAAAATTACTGCCACACCTGACTGGCAATGAACAAACAATACTTTAAAAAATATATAATTATAGAGAAACTCAAAATACCAACATATGAGAAATACTGTACTATATTAATGTTCCAATGGAACCCACCAAAATAATTTATTGATTTAATTAAAAATCAATGTCCTGCAAATCAAGGTTTCACAATTAATAGCACCCTTAAAGATTATTGTAAATAACATCTACCAAAATTAAACCAGGAATTAAATTCCACTTATTTAAGTTTATCTAAGTCTTAAGGAACTATATTGAGCCATTGCATCACTTTCTGTTTCACTAGGGTATAAAAATGAGGTAACATGCATGCAATATCCCTTTGTCATCCAACACCATGAAGAAAACAAAAGAACTGGCAGTTCAAAAGAGACAGATGGTCGCAGACCTTCATAAATCTGGTAATGGCTACAAGAAGATCCACAAACGATTGAATATACCACTGAGCACTGTCAGGGCAATTATTAAAAAATTTAAAGATATGGAGCAGTTGAAAACCTCACGGGTAGAGGATGCAAATGCATTTTGCCACCCAGGATAGGGAGGAGGATGGTGAGGTTAGCTACAAAATCCCCAAGAATCACTGTGAAAGAATTGCAGGCCTTGGTGGCATCTTGGGGTCACCAGGTTTTAAAAAGCACCATCAGATGCCACCTTCACAACCTCAGGCTCTTTGTAAGGGTTGCCAGAAGAAAGCCCTTTCTGACCCCAAGACAAAGACGCAAGCGCTTGGAGTTTGCCAAACGTCATTTAAAATTATGACTGGAAGAAGGTGCTCTGGTCAGATGAGACCAAAATTGAACGTTTTGGTCAGATACAGCATCGCCATGTTTGGCGTCGAAACAGAGATGCATACAAGGAGAGGCACCTCATACCCACGGTGAAATATGGTGGTGGGTCAGTGATGTTTTGGGGCCGTTTTAATTCCAGAGGTCCAGGGGCACTGGTTAGGATTGATGGCATAATGAATTCCACCAAGTATCAGGCAATTTTGGCTAATAATCTGGTTGCCTCTGCCAGAAGGCTGGGACTTGGCCGTAGGTGGACTTTCCAACAAGACAACGACCCAAAACATACCTCAAGATCCACACAGAAATGGTTCTGTGACAACAAAATCAATGTTCTGCCATGGCCATGTCAGTCGCCGGACCTCAATCCAATCAAAAATCTGTGGGCTGAGTTGAAGAGGGCAGTTGATAAGCGCAAATCCAAGAATGTGAAGGATCTTGAAAGGATCTGCATAGAGGAATGGTCCAAAATCCCTCCAAATGTGTTCCTCAACCTTGTCAAACATTACAGGAAAAGACTCCATGCTGTTATCCTTGACAGAGGTGGTTGCACTAAGTACTAAATGAGGAGTGCCAATAATTATGAAACCTTGATTTTGGTGACATTTATTTTGCATTAAATAATTGTATGATTTTGGTTGGTTCCATTGAAACATTAATAAAGTACAGTATTTCTCATATGTTGGTATTTTGAGTTCCTCTCTATAGTTATATTGTTTATATTTTTAAAGTATTGTTTGTGCATTGCCAGTCAGGGGTGCCAGTAATTTTGGAGCCCACTGTAGGTCACCTTCAGCAGGGTCTTGTGTGCGAAGGGTCTCCACCACTTTGTTGCCGAGTGCCGCGACAGCCTCCACTGCAAGAGAGACAACTTTCATTATGGGGGTTCAGTACAACCAATGGAGACTATTTCAAAATGGCTGTTCTGGGAAATACAGTCCAGGATGAGGACTGATTTGTATTAGGGCGGCAGTTAGCCTAGCGGTTAAGAGTGTTAGGCCAGTATTCGAAAGGTTGCTTGTTCGAAACCCCAAGCCGACTAGGTGAGCAAGGCACTTAACCCTAATTGCTCCTGAAAGTCGCTTTGCTTTGTTGGGACACAGACACACATAACTCACGTGTGGGCAAGATCTTGAGGATGACCACCAGGTCAGCAACGTTGTGTCCCGTTGTCATGGTGCCTTTCTTGTATGAGCCCACCTGACGCACCTCTTCAATTTGCTGGAATGAGACATGGCTAAATATGTTATCCGAGATACATATACATTTTGGCACGTTAATCTCTTACGAGGTCTGGAACTCACCACTTCAAAGTTGCCAGGGGCGACGATGAGGTTGTCGATGACGTTGTTGATCTTGGTGACCAGGGACAAGATAGAGGACTGAAAGGGGGAGCAGAGAGTTTGCATGTAGTCAATGGAAAGAATTATATGGTGGCAGTGTAGGAGTGTGTTGTTTAACACATAACCTAAAGGAATATGCTGGTGTGTGCATACAAGAGTTTGAGTGAAAAGATCCAGCGAGCGTGGTTTGAGTGAGGATGACCGAGTGAGAGTGTAGTGTGTTGAATGTTTGAGTGAGAGAGAAGGTTTGTGTGTGTGTTCGCCACCTGCTCTGCGGGTGTGGGGCTGAGGTCCTGGTTCCTCTTCAGTAGACACTCGCTGAAGGCAGTCTCATCCGCTGCCGGCTTCACTCGGGGGAAGGCCATCTCACACTGAGGTAACCAGAGAGCCAGTTTAGCACTGTCCACTCGACATCCCTATCTGCGCTACTGTATTACTTTGACAACATCCCGGTCATTTCGACTAGAACATTAGACCATTGTGTATGAGTAGGTGAGCTGATCTCCATTGATTCTAATCTGTCTGTACTGTGACTCCCACCACTAACATGCTCTCTTCAACATAACCATTGAGGCAAGAGCTAATGTATATGGGAAGGATGCTTGGCATAAAGTAGCAAATACTTACCACATAGAAGTCAAAGGGAATGTGGGGGACAAATGGCCGATACCTGAAACAAGCGACCAAGAAACATTGATGCATTTTATATTGTACCAGACATTCTTCTATGAATTTCAGTTGGCAAAGTTACCTCATGAATTTTTAATCTTATATGCCTAAATCATAAGTTGGACTGGTTAACTTTACAGTTGCGGGCATAGTAAATCAACCATTATGGCATCACACAAAACTAAAAGCAGGCATGCTCAATTTGAAGTGATCTCCCACATCAAAGTAAAGCCAAGGCTCATCTGGCTAGAAGAATGAAAGACAAGGCAACATTATTATGCTAGCAACTGGCTAGCTAGCTACTCACCCTTGCACCAGTCCTCCACGCGAGCCGAACCGGCCACCACGGCCCCTGCCCCTATCGCCTCTAAAATTGATTACATTAGCAATACATTAGTTAGTTGGGTGATACCAATTACCGCATTAACTAATTTGCTGAAGAAGCAGCAGCAGCTAGATAGCTTGCTGATTCTATAGCATAGCATGGATAACGGGGCTAGCTATTGACTGTTCATTCATTCGTCCATTCATTTTACTAAGACAAAAACAATGCATATTTAGCTAGCTAGCTAATCATACATTAGCAAGATAGTTGATGGATTGCTCTGTAGATAGGTAGCTAGCTAGTTAGTTTGTTATTAGATAAGCTACGCTACAGGCCACCTGGCTAACAAAGATGGCTACATGTTAGCTAGCTAATGCACCCTCCTCTAAACCACCCTTTTAAATTCCATATTTTACAATTGGATACTGTATAAATATAATCCAACATTACGGTTTTATCAAATGCATGAAATTACCTCATTGCGTAAGACGTTTTGATATTTGAATGTAGATATTCACAGAGAAATCACCAGCATCCAACACCGGTCAGTCAGACTACTAATGGAGTCAGGGTTGCCAGGTCTAGCTAAAATTTCTAGCCCAAATACTTTCCAAACCATCACACAAGGCCTGTAAACGACCCACCCCCCAAAAAAATCGCAGCAAGAGAGGAGTTGCCACATTTATCCAATAAACCCTTATTGCATAACGTTATCGAGCGAGTTAAGATGGAATATCGACGTAATTTGTTTTCATGTAGGCTAAGAAGCTAAATTCTGTTTTCCATCAAAAGACACATTCTTGCGAGATTAAGAATGTCACAAGAGAAAATATAATTTGCCATTATTAAACTCGCCAGATCATTTTCTATCAATGGATGTCGATTTAACTTGTTTTGACTGCTATGATTAAGCAATAAGGCCGGAGGAGGTGTGGTGTATGGTCAATATACCACGGCTTATTGCTATTATAAACTGGTTACCAACATAATTAGAACAGTAAAAAAATGTAATAACCATGGTACACGGTCTGATATACCACGGCTTTCAACCAATCAGCATTCAGGGCTCAAACCACCCAGTTTATAATTGTACATAAATCCTGTTTGCACATGTGCGTAACTATAGATAAATCAGACAGGAGAGTTTGAGTGATGGAAGTCCGACAGAGGATCTTGAAATCTCAGTGCAAGAAACACTTGGACAAACTTTTAAAAATTAATGTAGGTTATTTTCTGGCAATTGTGCCTTTATTATCAAGTCAAATTGTATTTGTCACATGGGCTGAATACAACAGTTGTAGACCATACATGCAATGCTTACTTACAAGCCCGTAACCAACAATTCAGAATTGTTTAAAAAGTAAGTAAGAAAATATTTGCTAAAAAAAATACCAAATTAAATAAACTAAAGTAAGAAAAAAAAAGTAACACAATAAAATTAAAAGAACGAGGCTATATATCCAGGGGGTACCGGTACCGAGTCAATGTACCTAGACTTGAAGCTCCGGTACCGCTTGCCATGTGGCAGCAGAGAGAACAGTCTATGACTAGGGTGGCTGGGACAATTTTTAGGGCCTTCCTCTGACACCGCCTGGTATAGAGGTCCTGGATGGCAGGAAGCTTGGCCCCAGTGATGTACTGGGCTGTACGTACTACCCTCTGTAGCGCCTTGCGGTCGAGTAGTTGCCATAACAAGCGAGGATGCAACCAGTCAGGATGCTCTCGATGGTGCAGCTGTATAACTTTTTGAGGATCTGAGGACCCATGCAAAACCTTTTCAGTCTCCTGAGGGGGAATAGGCATTGTCATGCCCTCTTCACGACTGTCTTGGTGTGTTTGGACCATGATAGTTTGTTATTGATGTGGACACCAAGGAACTTGAACTTCTCGACCCGCTCCACTACAGCCCCGTCGATGTGAATGGGGGCGTGCTCAGCCCCCCTTTTCCTGTAGTCCACGATCAGCTCACATTGAGAGAGAGGTTGTTGTCCTGGCAACACATTACCAGGTCTCTGACCTCCTCCCTGTAGGCTGTCTCATCGTTGTCGGTGATCAGGCCTATCACCGTTGTGTCGTCGGCAAACTTAATGATGGTGTTGGAGTCGTATATGGCCACGCCGTCGTGGGTGAACAGGAAGTACAGGAAGGGACTAAGCACACACCCCTGAGGGGCCCCCGTGTTGAGGATCAGCATGGCAGATGTGTTGTTGCCTACCCTTACCACCTAGGGGCGGCCTGTCAGGAAGTCCAGGATCCAGTTGCAGGGGGAGGTGTTTAGTCCCAGGGTCCTTAGCTTAGTGATGTGCTTTGAGGGCACTATGGTGTTGAACGCTGCGCTGTAGTCAATGAACAGCATTCTCACGTAGGTGTTCTTTTTGTCCATGTGGGAAAGCACAGTGTGGAGTGCAATGGAGATTGCATCATCTGTGGATCTGTTGGGGCGGTATGCAAATTTTAGTGAGTCTTGGGTTTCTGGGATGATGGTGTTGATGTGAGCCATAACCAGCCTTTCAAAGCACTTCATGGCTACAGACGTGAGTGCTACGGGACGGTAGTCATTTAGGCAGGTTACCTTAGCGTTCTTGGGCACAGGGACTATGGTGGTCTGCTTGAAACATGTAGGTTTTACAGACTCGGTCAGGGAGAGGTTGAAAAAAATCAGTGAAGACACTTGCCAGTTGGTCAGCGAATGCTCTGAGTACGCGTCCTGGAAATACGTCTGGCCCTGCGGCCTTGTGAATGTTGACCTGTTTAAAGATCTTACTCACATCGGCTACGGAGAGCGTGATCATACAGTCGTCTGGAACAGCTGGTGCTCTCATGCATGGTTCAGTGTTGCTTGCCTCGAAGCGAGCATAGAATGCATTTAGCTCGTTTGGTAGGCTTGCGTCACTGGGCAGCTTGCGGCTGGGTTTCCCTTTGTAATCCATAATAGTTTGCAGCCCTGCCACATCTGACGAGCGTCAGCACCGGTGTATTAGGATTCAATCTTAGTCCTGTATTGATGCTTTGCCTGTTTGATGGTTCATCTGAGGGCATAGCGGGATTTCTTATAAGCATCCAGATTAGTGTCCCGCTCCTTGAAAGCGGCAGCTCTAGCCTTTAGCTCAGTGTGGATGTTGTCTGTAATCCATGGCTTATGGTTGGGATATGTATGTAAGGTCACTGTGGGGATGATGTTGTCGATGCCCTTATTGATGAAGCTGGTAACTGATGTTGTATACTCCTCGATGCCATCGGATGAATCCCGGAACATATTCCAGTCTGTGCTAGCAAAACAGTCCTGTAGTTTAGCATCCGCATCATCAGACCACTTCCGTATAGAGCGAGTCACTGGTACTTCCTGCTTGAGTTTTTGCTTGTAAGTAGGAATCAGAAGGATAGAATTACAGTCAGAATTATAGGATTATAGAATACGTTAAGACTACAACCCGTTATAATTGTAGACTGTCATGGTCAAAGCATATTGATACAACAGTAGCTAAGATGGGGAGAAGTATGTCCATAATTAAGCGCTGCTCTGCCTTCTTAACAACACTATCAACAAGGCAGGTCCTACAGGCCCTAGTTTTGTCACACCTAGACTACTGTTCAGTAGTGTGGTCAGGTGCCACAAAGAGGGACTTGGGAAAATTGCAGTTGGCTCAGAACAGGGCAGCACGGCTGGCCCTTAAAAGTACATGGAGAGCTAACATTGATGACATGCATGTCAGTCTCTCCTGGCTCAGAGTGGAAGAGAGATTGACTTCATCACTGCTTGTTTTTGTGAGAGGTGTTGACGAGCTGAATGTACCGAGCTGTCTGTTTGGAACACTGGCACCCATGCATACTCCACAAGACATGCCACCAGAGGTCTCTTCACAGTCCCCAAGTCCAGAACGGACTATGGGAGGCGCACAGTACTACATAGAGCCATGACTACATGGAACTCTATTGCACATCATGTAACTGATGCAAGCAGTAGAATCAGATTTAAAAAACAGGTAAAAATACACCTTGTGGAACAGCGGGGACTGTGAAGAGACACACACACAGGTACAGAAGTTTACATACACCTTAGCCAAATACATTTAAACTCTGTTTTTTACAATTCCTGACATTTAATCCTAGTACAAATTCCCTGTCTTAGGTCAGTTAGGATCAGGACTTTATTTTAAGAATGTGAAATGTCAGAATAATAGTAGAGAGAATGACCTTTGGAAGTATGCTTGGGGTCAGGGGATGTAGCTCAGTTGGTAGAGCATGGCGTTTGCAACGCCAGGGTTGTGGGTTCAATTCCCGTGGGGGGCCAGTATGAAAAAAAAAAAAATGTATGTATGCACTCACTAGTGAGTATGCACTCACTAAGTCGCTATGGATAAGAGCGTCTGCTAAATGACGTCATTGTCCATTTGGAAGAGCCATTTGCGACCAAGCTTTAACTTCCTGACTGATGTCTTGAGATGTTGCTTCAATATATCCACATCATTTTCCTTCCTCATGACGACATCTATTTTGTGAAGTACACCAGTCCCTCCTGTAGTAAAGCACCCCCACAGCATGATGCTGCCACCCCCGTTCTTCACGGTTGGGATGGTGTTCTTCGGCTTGCAAGCAACCCCCTTTTTCCTCCAAACATAACGATGGTTATTATGGCCAAACAGTTCTATTTTTGTTTCATCAAACTAGAGGACATTTCTCCAAAAAGTACGATCTTTGTCCCCATGTGCAGTTGCAAACCGTAGTCTGGCTTTTTTATGGCGGTTTTGGAGCAGTGGCTTCTTCCTTGCTGAGCGGCCTTTCAGGTTATGTCGATATAGGACTCGTTTTACTGTGGATATAGATACTTTTCTACCTGTTTCCTCCAGCATCTTCACAAGGTCATTTGCTGTTGTTCTGGGATTGATTTGCACTTTTCGCACCAAAGTATGTTCATTTCTAGGAGACAGAACGCGTCTCCTTCCTGAGCGGTATGACGGCTGCGTGGTCCCATGGTGTTTATACTTGCATATTATTGTTTGTACAGATGAACGTGGTACCTTCAGGCGTTTGGAAATTGCTCCCAAGGATGAACCAGACTTGTTGAGGTCTACAGTTTCTTCTCTGAGGTCTTGGCTGATTTCTTTTGATTTTCCCATGACGTCAAGCAAAGAGGCACTGAGTTTGAAGGTAGGTCTTGAAATACATCCACAGGTACACCTCCACTTGACTCAAATGATGTCAATTAGCCTATCAGAAGCTTCTAAAGCCATGACATCATTTTCTGGAATTTTCCAAGCTGTTTAAAGGCACAGTCAACTTAGTGTATGTAAACTTCTGACCCACTGGAATTATGATACAGTGAATTATAAGTGAAATAATCTGTCTGTAAACAATTGTTGGAAATATTACTTGTGTCATGCACAAAGTAGATGTCCTAACCGACTTGCCAAAACTATAGTTTGTTAACAAGAAATTTGTGGAGTGGTTGAAAAACTAGTTTTAATGACTCCAACCAAATTGTATGTAAACTTCCGACTTCAACTGTACATACACACATACATATAGACACTCACTCTACAGACACGTACACATGGATGTTGTATTGTAAATATATGATAGTGGAGTAGTGGCCTGAGGGAACACACTAAATGTATTGGGTAAATTGTTATGAAATATGTCATGTAATATTTTAAATTGTATATAACTGCCTTAATGTTGCAGGACCCCAGCAGCTAATGGGGATCCTTAATAAATACAAATACAAAAATAAATGGCCAATTTGCGAGATGTACTTGTTATTTCAATAGGCATAGGCTACTGACTAAAATCTGGGTTTATAATTGCAATTCAACTTGCCATGGTAGCTAGATGCAGGTAGCCTATAGGCCAACATCTAATTTCAGAGGAAAGTCCACAATGAAACTGACATTAAATGTGGTGAATGATACATTTGCGATAGAGCTGTGACCATGATCACAACTGATAAATTCCAATTTAATTAGCTAAATATGGCTATTAATAATTGCATAATAACACAAGGCTACAACAACAAACTGAAGTTATAGGCTATTTATTAAATCCGTTTGCCAGATCCAGGTAGGCTACACAAGTGGCACAAATTGATTTGCAATGACTCCAGTGGTCATTTCAACATAATTACTGTATGAAATGGTGGGCTACAGTAGCCTACAATGGCATAGAAATTAATAGCCTACTTGATGGCCAACAGATGAAAATGTGTCATTCTCCACGTTTAATGTCAGTTTCATTGTGGACTTTTTCCCATAACATAAGCACTCGAGCGAGTTCCATAACTTCCATTTCATATTTCGCTTGCGCAGCGCTCGAGACCCAAGAACTGAGCATGAGTAAAACTCTTCGCTTGAAACAGTTTTCCATAAGAAAAGTACACATTAGAATGCAGTTTACTTTACACCACCTCTGAGCGAATTTATCTAAAGCGCCCTAGTGTGCCTGAAGTCATTTTCCAGTGCTTTGTCGCCGTTATATCAGTTATAGCGCGTTTATGTTTGATGGAAAATGGGTTGGAAATAGGTGTCTTCATAATGACAATCTAAATAGCCTACCTACAAGTGGTCAAAAGTTGTCATGACATGCGCGCGTGCTGCTCTGTCTCCATGACTCACCTGCCTATTGCAGCGTTCTCTCAATACACACACACACAAACACACACCACTCACTCACTCACTCACTCACTCAGTAACAGCTTGCTCACTGCTTGTTTGGTAGTCAGCAGCAGCATGTCACAGGGAAATATGTTGTTTCATGGCCGCAGTGCAATAAAGAAGTAGCCCAAAAACCTGCAACTCCGTTTTCAAAGTATCCCAAGTTTAGGAAAACAGCGGACATGGCAACCCTGGATGGAGTACTGCTACGGACGGAAGTCAGGGCCCAAAATTGAATTTATTGTTGTTGACTATAAAAGCACAATGCCGTGAAAACTGCCATCAGAAAGAGTGAATAAATAGCGGGGATCTTCCTAATATGGGCGGGGATCTTCTTAATGTTGGCAAGAGCAGAGTGGCGCAGCGGAAGCGTGCTGGGCCCATAACCCAGAGGTCGATGGATCGAAACCATCCTCTGCTATCCGTTTTCTTGAAATTTCACAATCTTACTTGTTTACTTGTTGCATCTTCTTTCTTTCGATTGATGTTCAAATACATAGACACGAAAACCATTTTACAAAAAGTATGACAGGTTAATTGACAAGTTACAATCAAAATGGCAATAATAATTTTGCATTTGGCATTATTTCTCATTGAAGTGATATTTATCAACTAGGTTACTCAAATATGAAGCAATTTGCCAACTAAGTACAACTACCCAATAACCCAACTTCATTGCAAATGTATGAAATTGTCCTCTTGTTTTGATGACCGCTGACCCTTGGATGGGAGACCCGATGCTCCTGGAAATGTGGTGTTGGAGGGTCAGTAGGGGACACTCTTCTTCCCTCATTGTTCTAAAAACAAAGGCTTCCCCAATGGCCCCTATGTCAAACTCATACACTCCTGTGTATTTATTTGGACAGAAAAGCTGGATTTGAGATCAAATGTCTTCCCTGTTAAAATAAAGGTTAAAAGGTTTTATTTTGGGGTATTTTCATACATATCTGTTTTATGTTTTAGAAATGAAAGCACTTTATGTATCTAGTCCCCCCATTTGAAGGTGTCATAAGTATTTGGACAAATTCACTTATATTGTGTTACATTTAGTCAATCGTTTAGTATTTGGTCCCATAAGCTTATTAGAAATCCCGCTATGCCCTCCGACGAACCATCAAACAGGCAAAGCATTACATTTTAGTCATTTAGCAGACGCTCTTATCCAGAGCGACTTACAGTTAGTGAATGCATGCATGTTTTTTTCATACTGACCCCCCATGGGAAACAAACCCACATCCCTGCCGGCCATACCCTCCCCTACCTTGGACGACTCTGGACCAATTGTGCGCCGCCCATGGATCTCCCGGTCGCGGCCAGCTGCGACAGAGCCTGGACTCGAACCAGGATCTCTAGTGCCTTAGACCACTGCGCCACTCAGCGTCAATACAGGACTAAGATCGAATTGTACTACACCGGCTCCGACGCTTGTCGGATGTGGCAGGGCTTGAAAACTATTACAGACTACAAAGGGAAGCATAGGGAAGCATAGCCACGAGCTGCCCAGTGACACAAGCCTACCAGCCGAGCTAAATCACTTCTATGCTCGCTTTGAGGCAAGCAACACTGAAGCATGCATGAGAGCATCAGCTCTTCCGGATGACTATGTGATCAAGCTCTCTGTAGCCGATGTGAGTAAGACTTTTAAGCAGGTCAACATTCACAAGGCCGCAGGGCCAGACGGATTACCAGGACGTGTACTCCGAGCATGCGCTGACCAACTGGCAAGTGTCTTCACTGACATTTTCAACATGTCCCTGACTGAGTCTGTAATACCATACCAACATGTTTCAAGCAGACCACTAAGGTAACCTGCCTAAATGACTACCGACCCGTAGCACTCACGTCTGTAGCCATGAAGTGCTTTGAAAGGCTGGTCATGGCTCACATCAACACCATTATCCCAGAAACCCTAGACCCACTCCAATTTGCATACCGCCCCAACAGATCCACAGATGATGCAATCTCTATTGCGCTCCACACTGCCCTTTCACACCTGGACAAAAGGAACACCTATGTGAGAATGCTATTCATTGACTACAGCTCAGCATTCAACACCATAGTGCCCTCAAAGCTCATCACTAAGCTAAGGACCCTGAGACTAAACACCTCCCTCTGCAACTGGATCCTGGACTTCCTGATGGGCCGCCCCCAGGTGGTAAGGGTAGGTAACAACACATCCGTCACGCTGATCCTCAACACAGGAGCCCCTCAGGGGTGCGTGCTCAGTCCCCTCCTGTACTCCCTGTTCACCCATGACTGCATGGCCAGGCACGACTCCAACACCATCATTAAGTTTTCCGACGACACAACAGTGGTAGGCCTGATCACCGACAACGATGAGACAGCCTATAGGGAGGAGGTCAGAGACCTGGCTGTGTGGTGCCAGGATAACAACCTCTCCCTCAACGTGATCAAGACAAAGGAAAAACCTATTCGCCCTAAGGAGACAGAAAACATTTGGCATGGGTCCTCAGATCCTCAAAAGGTTCTACAGCTGCACTATTGAGAGCATCCTGACTGGTTGCATCACTGCCTGGTATGGCAACTGCTCGGCCTCCGATCGCAAGGCACTACAGAGGGTAGTGTGTACGGCCCAGTACATCACTGGGGCCAAGCTTCCTGCCATCCAGGACCTCTATACCAGGCAGTGTCAGAGGAAGGCCCTAAAAATTGTCAAAGACTCCAGCCAACCTAGTCATAGACTGTTCTCTCTGCTACCGCACTGCAAGCAGTACCGGAGCGTCATGTCTAGGTCCAAGAGGCTTCTAAACAGCTTCTACCCCCAAGCCAAAAGACTCCTGAACATCTAATCAAATGGCTACCCAGACTATTTGCATTGCCCCCCCCCCCCTTTACTCTGCTGCTACTCTCTGTTTATTATCCATGCATAGTCACTTTAATAACTCTACCTACATGCACATATTACCTCAATTAACCGGTGCCCCCGCACATTGACTCGGTACCGGTAGCCCCTGTATATAGCCTCGCTATTGTTATTTTTACTGCTGCTCTTTAATTATGTGTTACTTTTATTCCGTATTATTTTATATTGTATTTTTTTGTGTGATTTGTTTTGGTATTCTTTCTTAAAACTGCATTGTTGGTTAAGGGCTTGTAAGTAAGCATTTCACTGTTGTATTCGGCGCATGTGACAAATAAAATTTGATTTGATATTCATAGCACACAATGACTACATCAAGCTTGGGACTCTACAAACTTGTTGGATGCAGTTAGTTTTGGTTGTGTTTCAGATTATGTTGTGGCCAATATAAATTAATGGTTAATAATGTGCCATTTTGGAGTTATAGTGTATTACATTAAGTAAAAAGTTTAGTATTTGGTCCCATATTCCTACCAAGCAATGATTACATCAAGCTTGTGACTACACATTTGTTGGATGCATTTGTAGATTGTTTTGGTTGTGTTATGCCCAATAGAAATGAATGGTAAATAATGTATTGTGTCATTTTAGAATCGCTTAGGTCACTCTTCTTGCCCATTCTAACGTTCAATTTAACAGTAACTGGATGCCTGTCTGCCTGCTTTATATAGCAAGCTATGGCCACGTGACTCACTGTCTGGAGGAGCGATCCATTTTCATGAACAGGGTGGTGTACCGAATAAACTGGCCGATGAGTGTATATGGTGATTTAGCCAAGTGCTTGCAGTGTATTAGTCTTGAGAGAATGCATGATGGAACCAATACTCAAAACACTAACAACTACTGTGTTAAGAGAAGATGACAATACAAGTTTATTCTCTGCCAATAACCAGATGGAAGGAGAGGGAATTACATAGCAATTGGAGTTTAGATAGTTTCATCCAGATGGACACAATCTGAAAACATTCTCACTCACTTCATTTGAGTGGTGTTCAACAACCACAGTTTTTTTTTAAAGACCATTTCAAATTCATACAATTGACACCAGGATGGAAATATTTTGCACCTTCTTGTGTAGTTGCTATTTTTGGTATGTCAAGCATCCATAAAATGCTGTTAGGGGAGTTTCAACCAAAGACAGCAACATATGTCAATTATCCAGAAGCAAAGTTGGTGGCGTTAAACAGAACAAAAATGCAATAAATGATCTCTCTAGAATTCCCCTTGTCATTTTCATTAGATTTTTTACTTGAGTCAAGTCTTTGTACACTTCTGCTAAAACAATAAAAAGGAGCATCCATTACTAAATACAAATCCTAACATAAAAACATGGTAGTAAAAAATAGGTTTACGAAATATGAGAAGTGGATGCTAGTTAGACATGATGGAGCTAAAGCACTTTTAACCATATGGACATAGACGCAAAGTTCAGTAATAGTCCAATTCAGCTTCAAAACAGATTATGCCAAGAGAGATTCTAGTCCAAAAAGCAGGCCTTTGAGGAGTGTTGATAGTGTTGGTTCTTTAAGTCTCTACTCCAGTCAGTGTCGTCCATTCAAGTCTAAAAGATCTTTGTTTTCTTCATGCACACTTGCACATACAGGAAAAAGTTTTAAACTGTGCAGGTGCGAGTCTACTTTGCAATGATACTGATAGAATGGTCAAGTCCACATTCAGTAAAACGGTCAATTTCAAACAGTTCTCTTCATAAGCCCACAATTTTAGAATGAGTGTGTTTGTATGCATGTGTGTCAGTGAGTATGTGAGTTTTATATTTAAGCCGATGTTGTGATCACATGTCAAATTTGAGCCATGTAGTGTGAGACACTGCACTGAGTTTACGTATGTGCGTTTATCATTAAGTTTGTGTCGTGTAATTGTACTATACAAGCTTCTCTCTGTGTCATCATGTTATCAGTACTGTCTCAGTGTGGGCCTGTTCAAGGAGTCCCTACTCTCTTGTGGTAGAGGTCCTGGTTCACTCCATGCCCTCTGGGTCAGCCTGGGCCATGTACGCGTCCAGCTCTGCGTCCAGGTTGCCCTTTGTCTTGGACATGTAGGCGTCAAGCTGGTTGTCCAGCTGCTCGCGGGTCATTCCCGGGCCACCTCCCCTGCCACGGCCTCCTCTTCCACCACCACGACCGCGGCCACCACCCCTGCCGGCGAAGCCACCACGCCCACGCAGGCCACCTCGTCCTGGAGGGAGGGAAAGAAATGGTGGACAACACCAAAAAAAAATTAGTCACAATGCATTAACAAAATGGTTGTTGCATAAGTGTTCATGTAAACAAGAAACTTGAAGTAGATTGTGACGTGTCAGTTTACAGATTAAATGAATCCGAACTCTAAATCCAGTTCCTTACCCCTGGCTCCCATTCCTCTTCCAGCTCCTCTGCCGAAGGCACCCCCACGACCAGCAGCCCCTCCTCTTTGACGCATTCCCCTACGGAGGGCCACACGGCCTGGACCCCCTCTGCCACGCATCTGGCCCATGCCTGGGGAAAGGCGATTCCCTATCAGGACACAGGATGTAATAAAGGAGCAGTTAACTAGTGACTTAGCTTAATGTTGATAGCATTTAGGAATTTAACCAATTTATCACATTTCAGTTTAAGAACAAAGTTGTCAAGTGAATACAAAAACCTTCTACATGCCCATCATTGACCCACATCTCAGCCACCAACACACCTAACTAAAGCAGCTAAAGTATTCAAATTCTATGCAGGGGAAAAACATGTTAAGCATGTCAGTTATACTCCAACTTGTTTTACGTTAGCCATGACAAGACAGGTTAGAGGTGTTTGCTGGGTGCCTAGCCCATGTATTCTGGAATAACTTCTAGCTAGGCATGGGGTATTCTGACAGAATAACAATTTGTGCTACTGTGAAAACACATTAATATCACTTCAAATGCTATGACCAACATTTTATGTTCGTATTCACCAAAATCCTGGAATGCCACTGTTATGCGTTGTATGCAACATATATGTGACCGCAGTGCACATCTTGTATCTGCACCATTCCATTCTAAACCCCGATAAATTAAAGCCAACGTATTTAAATGAATTTCACTTAGGCCTAAGTATTACTGTGACTTTTGTTGTTGTCTAAATGGCATCTAAAATCCCCAATCCCCTCCACCGGGAGTGTGTATAAGTGGGTGTGGGGTGACTGTGTGGATAAGCAGGGACAGTGCAGCTGTTAGATCCGTCACCACATGCTCAGTAGCACAACAGGTGCCAAGATATTGGGCCAACCAAGACAGCAGGGGGATTATGGACGGTGGAGTCACGATGATTGACAGCCACATTCCCTCAGGTTGAGGGGATGGATAGTAAACCAGGGGGTGAAGCCATACTCTTGACAGATCCACATGGACTGACAGCTGGGGTATTCCATTCAACTCAGCAGGGTGTATTTGCTCAAGCTAGTTTCCAGATGAGATCACATCACCCCTTTAAATAATAAAGTTTGCCTTTCCCCCATGCAAAAAAAGTACAAGGCCTACTTAAAAGCCTGGACATCACTGTGGAAAGTATACTTCAGCCCCAGAGTAGAACAATTCAGAGAAAACATTAAACGTCTTGTCATATGTCTTTCAACAATTTATGAAGCCAAAATGTTCAGTTCTAACATTGTAGCAAAACATCAATCCCAGTAGGCTTTGCTGTGTGGTTACAAATGCTCACCTCTCAGAGCCATAGCTCCCCTCAGGGCTCCTCCTCTGCCGCGGCCTCGTAGACCTCCTCTGGTCATCCCCCGCATCCCTCCAACGGCGAATCCCCGGCCTCCAGCGCCCCCCCGCATCAAGGCCCCGATGGGCCGGCCCAGCCTGGCCTGGATGTTGCTCTTCCCCAGGCGCTGCTTCAGGCTCTGGGAGGGTTAGGTGGAAGGTTGATACCAAGTGGCAGGGATAGGGAGGTGGTGAACACTTGTGCTGCATTTGTCAAATTGTCGCTTCAGTGCTTGACCCAAACACAGCCATTTATCTGATCTGTATATTAACCTTTGCTCTATGGTCCCCTCTCTTACTAGGTCTGCGTCAAGCATTTCAAGTTCCTAATATCTAGTGATTCCCAAGTGTATAGCCCTTTTCCCGTTCCCCATCTCCCTCTTACACGTTTGTAGAACATGGCCTTTGTCCGGTATCCCATTCCTCTCTCCATCTCACCTGTTTACAGTGCTTCAGATGTCTCCCCATTTGGCTCTTCCTCATTTCATCTTTCCCCGATTCCTCCTCAAAATGCATTGGAGAAGGTTCGAGGAAAGGGACTTGGATCGTCTCCTCCAATACTGTTGAGAAGGTGAGGAATTGCAGAAAGACTAATTGCGCTAGATCCCCTTGTCTCACCTGCTTGTGGTGCAGAGCGGCCTGCACAGAGGGCCTGTTCTCCATCTGCTGGGCGAGGCGGCGGTTGCGGGCGCTGGCCATGTGTTGCTGCTGCATGGTGGCTCGCACACTCACCGCTGTTGGCGCCTTGTTCTTCAGCATGGTAGTGAAGCTTTGGAGGGGAGGGGGAGCGGGACAGAGAGGGGGTAAAAGGAGGGAAAGAGAGAGGATACGGAGGGGGGGAGGGTTCCAAATCAAGTCATTTCTCATACCATGGACACGGCCACAGGAGCTGTGGCGTGTGTTATGAATGCCCCGCTTGTTGGCACCTCACTCTCTTTGTTTCGCTCTCTCTCTCTCATTGTTAAGTACTTGACAACCCAAAATGCTTTCTGGAAGCAATTCAGCACATTTTAGGTTAAAGTAAAACAAAGTAGAAAGATGGATAGAAATGCAGTAGAAGAAACACTGGAACAGATGGGAAGACAAGAATGAGAACGGCAGAAGAGAAAATGGAGAGAAAGGAAACCAGATGACAAGAGAGGAGAGTGATTGCCACTTACAGGCCTCCCCGCCACCCTGTTTTGATGGCATCAGCCTGCGAAAAAGGCCTGGCGGAGGTTGGAGGCCCAGGACTGGAGGGGTATCTGGCAACCCAGCCACTTACAGCCCGGACCGTGCCTTGTGCTCACACCACACATATGAGAATAGGAAGAAAAGGGGGAGAGAGAAGTTCAAGGGAAGGGGGGTTGGTCACGTCCGGGCTAGGACTGGGCACCTAGTCTCACAGAAAGACTTCAGAGCACAGAGAACTGAAAATGAAAGTGGTAGCAAAGAGAGGAGGAAAAGGAGTCAAATGGCTAAACAAACAGTCATTTAGTTGAGAGAGAGTTGTGTGTGTAGAGAGAGGGTGGGAGAGGAGCGGGAGGGTGCTTTGGGTGAGCGCACCCTCCTCTTTTCATTGGTTTGTTCTCTCCTCTCCCATACGTACAGTATATTTTGGGACTGCACCAATGTGTGACACACAGAGAGGAGGAGTGCCGGGGCATATCAGGAGTGCGGCCTGTGCCCATTCTAGGACAGTCGCCTTACCAGGCATCACCGTTACCCTCTCTCCTTGGGTCTAAGTGTGCGCTGCTCACACAAAAGGTTGGCCTGGAGCGCAAACTTCTAATGTAAGCAAATGTTGAATACGGCATGCATTTTGAGTGAGCAGCGCACACGTCGGCCCCGGGCAGTCTAGCGTCCATGTCTGGTCCCCAACAGTGGCCTTCCGTAGTAGAGCACACTAGGGCCGTCTGTACCACTTTTTCGCCCTTCGCCTCGCTTAGTGCTGTCAGGGTGCGTAGCGCGTCTCACCGCTCATTCAGGGACTGCTTGGTGGTGCTTTTCAGCACTACTTTTTGGGAGGAGGGAGCACTCATTTTGACTTCACTGGAACTCCTTGGAACAAGTGACAGACAAGAGGGAGGGATAGGTCAAATTGGGAGGTGCCAGGGGAGGGTGTAGTAGGGAAAAAATAGGTTAGAAAAACAATTTCACGAAGGAAATACACCAGTGTTGGCCATTACATTCCATCTGTGCATAACCATTCAAGGTCGTAGGTACTTGCTAGTTTCATAACAATACATTATATTTAGTTGGCAAAATGGTCAGCTTAGTTAGTAGATAACTAGTTAAAATTTGACTAGTTGTGGTATGCAGTTAGCTAGTATCCTTCCATTTGCCAACTAACGTTGGATACATACTTTGAAGAAAAGACGCAAAAGGGCCACGCCACGAGCTCGAAATAAACTTATCGTGGACTTTCCCGAAAGGCACAACATACACGTCAGGTTCATAAAACAAATGTAGCAAATGAGTCGACTTCACTGCGTTTGAATGACAACGAGAGAGGGGGTAGCTACGAAAGCTAGCTAACTACGTTAACTAGCGAATTAACTAAGTAGCCTGTGACTGTGCGAAAAACTAAATAGGAGCCTGTACGCTGTTAGGCTAGTGTCCCTATCGAGCCTGAACATTATTAGCCAACGTAGCTAGCTAGAAAATCTCTTCCTAAAAACAGTCAACATTGTTTCAAACAAGTTCAGTAGGCGATTATTTGTAAAAACTTACTTTGATCGTTGCTTGTTTGCCGATACTCGTGTATCACTTGGCTAGCAAGCTCGTTAGCTTGAGCGATGAACCAGTTAGCAGCTAAGCTAGTTGCAACCGACAGATCTGGATCCACTTCTCACTTGATGTTTTATTTCGCCTTACTCTTTCAGATACTACTAAAATACGAACTATACTAGCTAGCTACAGTGATTAAAACGGTATTTCCTAAAAATATAAACACGGAGGCCAGCCTGTTCTCCCTCTCTCTCCTTTCCTTACAAAATGGTGCTAACTGGGGAAAATGGAGAGGTTTTACAGCTACGTCACAGATTTACTTCCTGGCGTGCTTTACGTTTCTTGTTATCACTTCTGGTTCAGGAAGAGAAATGGCTGCCCTAGCTGTTGTGGAGACACCATCCGGGAAAGATGCAATTGCAGAAGGACTGCTTGGTCTCTTGAAACCAGCTGTCCAGCAGCTTGATCTTCATGTTCATTCAGTGAGGTAGGTAGCTAGCAAGATATGTGTTTCGATTTCAAATGTGCTTGCTAGATACCGCTCCCTTCATTCACAGCTAGCTAGCCACTTGTGGTGCGTTCAAGACAACTGGGAACTTGGGGAAAAACGAGGTCAAATCATAAAGTCAGTGATCTTCAGGTCGGAAAGCGGAGCTCTAGAAAGAGAATTCCGAGTGGCATGACCGTTCAATACGATTTTCTCAGTTGGAGCTCGGTTCTTTCCGAGAATTTGGAATCGGAAGTCGGAGATTTCCAGTTGTTTTGAACACGGCAATAGCTAACTCCATCATCATGACAGTCCCATGATGCGGCCCTTCCTCTCCTAGTTAGTTATCAGGGAGGGAGATTCCCTAAAAACACGTCACTTCGATACAGTTTAATTAGTCGTATGTACGGGATACACGGTCCTACAAAATGCTTACTTGCAGGTTCCTTCTCGACAATGCAACAACAATAGGAAATAATAAAATATAAGAATACGAACATAAAGGAAATGGCTAAGTAGAATATAAAAATATTTTAGCATATGTATAATAAAGGAAGGCACAATTTATACTAAACAAAAATATAAACGCAACATGTAAAGTGTTGGTCCCTTGTTTCATGAACTGAAATAAAAGATCCCAGAAAATGTCTCTCAAATGTTGTGCACATATTTGTTTACATCCCTGTTAGTGAGCATTTCTCCTTTTGACAAGATAATCCATCCACCTGACAGGCTAAATGACTAAAATGTAAATGTAATTGTGTGGCATATCAAGAAGCTGATTAAACAGCATGATCATTACACAGGTGCCTCTTGTGCTGGGGACAATAAAAGGCCACTCTAAAATGTGCAGTTTTGTCACACAACACAATGCCACAAATGTCTCAAGTTGAGGGAGCGTGCAGTTGGCATGCTGACTGCAGGAATGTCCACCAGAGCTGTTGCCAGATAATTGAATGTTCATTTCTCTACCATAAGCTGCCTCCAACGTTGTTTTAGAGAATTTGGCAGTACGTCCAACCGGCCTCACAACCGCAGACCACGTGTAACCACGCCAGCCACCCGGACAGCTGATGAAACTGTGGGTTTGCACAACAGAATAATTTCTGCACAAACTGTCAGAATCCATCTTAGGGAAGCTCATCCGCGTGCTCGCCCTCACCAGGCTCTTGACCTGACTGCAGATTGGCGTCGTAACCGACTTCAGTGGGCAAATGCTCACCTTCGATGGCCACTGGCACGCTGGAGAAGTGGGCTCTTCACGGATGAATCTCGATTTCAACTGTACCGGGCAGATGATGACATGTGGGTGAGCGGTTTGCTGATGTCAACGTTGTCAACAGAGTGCCCCATGGTGGCAGTGGGGTTATGGTATGGGCAGGCATAAGCTACGGACAATGAACACAATTGCATTTTATATATGTCAATTTGAATGCTCAGAGATACCGTGACGAGATCCTGAGGCCCATTGTTGTGCCATTCATCCGCCGCCATCACCTCATGTTTCAGCATGATAATGCACGGCTCCATGTCGCAAGGATCTGTACACAATTCCTGGAAGCTGAAAATGTCCCAGTTCTTCCATGGCCTGCATAGTCACCAGACATGTCACCCATTGAGGATGTTTGGAAAGCTCTGGATCGACGTGTACGACAGCGTGTTCCAGTTCCCGCCAATATCCAGCAACTTTGCACAGCCATTGAAAAGGACTGGGACAACATTCCACAGGCCAGAATCAACAGCCTGATCAACTCTATGCGAAGGAGATGTCGTGCTGCATGAGGCAAATGGTGGTCACACCAGATACTGACTGGTTTTCTGATCCACGCACCTACTTTTTTTTTTTTTTAAGGGATCTGAAGCATGAATATGTGTGTCTGTGTGCTAAGGTGCAGAGAATCACAGCAGGTGGTCGGTCCAGTTCAAGTATTCAGCATTCTGGCTTGTAGATAGAAACTTTCTCTGAGCCTTTTGGTGTCAGACTTCATGTTCCGATACAGTCCGCCTGACAATGACATTCTAGATGATTCTGTGCTTCCAACTTTGTGGCAACAGTTTGGGGAAGGCCCTTTCTTGTTTCAGCATGACAATTCCCCCATGCACAAAGCGAGGTCCATACAGAAATGTGGTCCTCTGTAGCTCAGCTGGTAGAGCACGGCGCTTATAACGCCAAGGTAGTGGGTTCGATCCCCGGGACCACCCATACACAAAAAAAAAATGTATGCACGCATGACTGTAAGTCGCTTTGGATAAAAGCGTCTGCTAAATGGCATATTATTATTATTATTATTATTATTGTAAGGGAGTGAACAGCTCAAGGCTGGGGTGTGTGGGGTCCTTGATGATTCTGTGGGCCTTCCTCAGGCACCGCTTCGAGTAGATGTCCTGGATGGATGGCAGCATGGTCCCAGTGACGTAATGGGCCGTCCTCACCACCTGTTGGAGGGCCTTGCGGTCGTGGATGGATCAATTCCCATACCAGACCGTGATGCAACTGGTCAGGACGCTCTCGATGGTGCACTGGTAGTATTTGGAGAGGACCCGGGATGGTATGCCAAATTTCTTCAACCGCCTTAGGGAGTAGAGACACTGTTGCACACTCTTGACAAGGGTGGTGGTGTTGTTGGTCAAGTCCTCTTTGATGTGGACGCAGAATAACTTACAACTGCTGACTCTGTCTACTGCTGTCCTGTTGATGTGGATCGGGGCATGTTCCCTTCATCTGTTTCCTGAAGTCAACAATCAACGTGTTGTGCAAAGCAACACAGTCGTGGGTGAACAGGGAGTACAGGACACACCCCTGGGGGGCCCCTGTGTTGCGTCAGCGTGGAGGAGGTGTTGTTGCCAATCCTCACAACCTGTGTCCTGCCCGTCAGAAAATCCAGAATCCAGTTGCTGAGGGTGGTGTCCAGACCCAGGGCTCTGAGCTTGGTGGTTGGAGGGTGCAATAGTGTTGAATGCTGAACTGTAGTCACTGAACAGTATTTTCACATAGCTGTTCCTCTTGTCCAGATGTGTTATGGCCGTGTGAATAGCAATGGAAATGGCATCTTCTGTGGATCTGTTGGAGCGGTGGCAAATTGGAGTGGGTCCAGTGTGCCTGGCATGCTGGCCTTGATGTTGGCCATGACCAGCCTCTCAAAGCACTTCATGATCACTGGGGTGATAGTCATTTGGGCATGTCACCTTGTTTTTCTTGGGCACTGGGACGATGGTGGGCTCCTTGAAGCAAGTGGGGACTACAGCCTGGACAAGTTGAAGATGTCAGAGAAGACGCACGCCAGCTGTTCAGCACACACATCTGCCAACTCTCAAAATTGTGCATTTTCTCAGAGAGCGAAAGCACCTGGTCGACCGGAGCTGCAAGTGTCTTCCTCGATGGCTCGGTATTGTCTGCCTCAAAGCGAGTATAGAATGTGTTAAGCTCGTCTGGGAGGGAGTCTTCAGTGGGCACCACACAGCTGGATTTGCCTTTGTAGTCCGTGATAGTCTGTAGTCCTTGCCAAATGTGTTGCGAGTCTGAGTTGTCGAACATAAATTCAAGTTTGAGTCTGTATTGTCTTTTTGCGTCACTAATGGATTTGTGGAGCTCGTACCTGCTTGCCTTGTACACGTTGCGGGCCACCGAGTCATCTGGGTTTGTTCTGCTGACATTGAAAGCTGCAGTACGGGCTCTCCGCATGATACAGATATCTCCGTTCACCAAGGGCTTTTTTTTGTGTGGGTACAACATCAAAACATTTCCTAATGAAGCCTGTGACTGACAATGTATATTCCTCAACATTGATGGATGAGTCCTGGGTGGATGAAAATATTCCAATCAGTATTCTCAAAACAGTCCTGCAGCATTGCGTCTGCCTCCTCTGTCCAGTGCCTCACTATTCTCTGTGTTGGTGGCTCAGCTACAACTTTTTCGTAGCAGGCTGGGAGAACTTACGCAGCAGGTTAAGATAATTAAATTAAGGTTAGGAAAAGGGTTAGGGTTTTAGAAAATGCTCTCCTAACCTGCTACGAAAAGTTGTATCGAAGTGGCGTGTTTTTATGGAGGGATGTTCTGAATGTGTCCTTTCCTCATTACTTTGTTACTTGCTGTAGGCCTAGGCTACAGATATCAATGTCGTCTGCTGTAACCACTCTGTCTGTTGTTGTAGTAGTAGTCATGATTTGTTACTTTACTATATTTCTCTATGAATAATGCTATTGTGTTGTGTCCTTGTTATAGGGAAAGCCAGGTGGAACTACGAGAACACATAGACAATCTAGCCACAGGTAAAATTATTTACTTTTACATGCTTATTATGCCCTCCTGGGGGAACAGGGAAGTTGATGGGTGCCAGGTTAATGCACTTGACCCTGTGAAAGAAAGCCCATAGCCAAGCCAATGAAAACCATTGTGTGAGACAGGCAGAGGCTGCTGTGATGTGACTAGTACAACCACATATTTTTTAAAACTCATGTGTAAGGCTTCTAGAAGCTCCTGTGCTGCCTGAGGGTAATTCAATCGAAAGAGGTATGTCCTTTATTCAGAACCTTCTTTGATTTTCATGAGATCATAAAAAAACATTGCTTTTAATTATATACAGAATCAATCCTACAATTGAAGGCATGAACAAGAGCTGAATACCTTACCAAAATGGCTGCTGTCTTATCCATTTTCTTTATGAGATTAGCCAATCATCCTGTCGGTCATCCTCATCTCATCCCTTCATTTTTAGAGTTGTGCAGGATAAATGAACACCAGAAGGTGGTGCTAGACCTGGACCCCTATGTGAAAAAGCTGCTGAATGCAAGACGCAGGGTGGTGCTGGTCAACAACATACTACAGAATGCTCAGGTCAGTGGCTCAAAGCAAGAGCTTGGATGCTTTCTTTCTTTGCCTGTGCAGTATCTTATACTATTTTGTGGGCCTTCTTTTACTCCTGTCCTTGTACCTAACACTCTATTTTTATGTGTGTCACTGTGTCAAATTCAGTGGCTTAGTGTTCATCCCATGTATCTATACATTAATTCCAATGGGCATGGCAATTCTGCTTTGTCTGTGCATTTTGAATTCATGCAGCTCTGCTAGCCACTCAGGTGGTATATTATGTCAAGCTACTGACTTTCAACATTCAATGCTCACTTGAGTTTCCCTCTCTCTAGGAACGGCTGCGACGGCTCAATCACAACGTCGCCAAAGAGACGGCGCGTCGGAAGACCATGCTGGAGACCTCTGGAGCGTTCACGCCTCGGTCGCCCAGTAAACCATGACCAGTAAACCATGCCCCACTCCTCAGCTTGGAACAAACTGCTTAGTAACAACACTGAGCTTGTCTTCCTGTGTCCTGGACTGAATAAAGTTTTCACATTCAACTCTCCACTGGGGTTGGGCAGTATCCAGATTTTCATATATTCATACCGTTCCTGTACCATACCGGGAAATACGGTATTACAGTCAGTGCACACAAGGGCCGCTATTTATTTTCAAAAAAATATATTTTTGGGGGGGTTGGGGTCCCAACGAGTTACAAGCGAATTCCCATAGCGGATGCTAGCTAAATGCTAACAAGCACAAGCGAACATAAACTAATTGCAAGGACAGACTACTATCTCAAAAGGCTACTCACAGTTTGCTGCATGCACAAAACAAATATTAGACAGTAGGGGATTGATTGTCTCTGCTGTAACCAAGAAGCTTAATCTTGCCATCTAGCCACATAGCTGCATAACTGGAGCCCTGAGATGGATATAAATTATTTGGCACATCTTAGATAGTTAACTTAGTTATAAGCAGAGGTGTAGCACGCACCACCGCAGCCCCGCGACACGGGAGGTTTAGAGCTTTAGGGGGCCCGGGGACAGTATTGAAAATCTGTATTTCAAAATACCCCAGTATATGGTACATACGGTATATCGCCAAAGCCTACTCTCCACCCAGGTGTGATGTACCATTGGATACTGCAGCAGTGAGACTGGGGGAAAGTTCTCTTTCCATTCTCACAGACTAAGGCAATGCTCAGTTTACCTGCTGAAACGCCAACCTCACATCTCTGCTTTGTGCTATTGTAGCAACGTGTACGTGTCTTGTGTAGTCATAAACTACTAGTTTACAATAAGCCAAAGGCAATTAGAATCAGGGGTGCTTTTGCTTCAAAAACATACACAACTTGATCAAATGTTATTTGAATGCCATCTCAATTCATGCCTTTTCACAATTGCATATATGTACAGCTTTGCTATGGCCCCAAGAGGGCTTGGTTCATCCTTAACAACCTAAGCCTATCCTATCAGTTCCCCCCATTGTTTCCCCCACATGACACTGTTTGACTTGCCAAACACTTGTCACACTATTTTCCACATATATTTCATGAAAATTCATGAAACAATTAATCTGATATGTTCAGAAATTGCAACTGAAATAGGATTAAGTGTAGAAGCATGGGTGGCTGGTTATGTTCAAGTTATGCAAAGAGATATGAGTTTACACTGCTGGAGGGCTTTGGGCCTACTGATTTTTACGACCCTCTCTTTCCAGAATATGTTTATGAATGCCTCTGCATTCCATTCAAAGCTATGCCCACAGATATGTAGTTGATGGAACTGGTTCTTCTCTAGTGTGAAGTATTTTTGTCACTGTGGTTGGTCTAAGTAACTAGACCCGGCAATAACATTTAGTGCAGAAAAAAAAGATGCAAGGAATGTTCGGAAACAGAGCAGTCACTGTTTCACGCTTCTAGCAGCAGCTGATATGCAACCCTGCCTGATATGGTTTGTCAAACCTTTTTTTCCTAGATGTCAAATCACATTTTATTGGTTGCATACACATATTTAGCAGATGTTATCGCAGGTGCAGCAAAATGCTTATGTTTCTAGCTCCAACAGGGCATTAATACCTAACCATACAAAACATGTTAATGACAACTTCTGTACTTAGTAGTTGCTATTGAATAAAACAGAGAAGCATCACCATTTTCTGGTCCTCTATATTATGAATTGTGCATATACTCTGTTAAAGTGTATAAATTGTAGTATAAGGAAACTGTCTTAGTACTACTGTCATGACATGGTTGTATGATGTGTGTATAGACAATCAGAGCAAATCCATAAACTTAAATTTGAGTTCTAGGGGAGTGGTTTGACTCCACAATGAAATGTGTTATAGTAGCCAAATATTAACTTTGATGTTTTACACAAGCAGTTTTAATTGGTTCAAGATGACAGATCAGTATCAAAGTGGAAGATGAATGGTGGTGAGCCAGTATCCTTACTAGCAACTGTTTTCAAGCATTTAACAGTGAACTTCAAGGACACCTAAAAAAAAAAACATGATTTAATTCAAATTCTGCTCTGTAATTCCTTTGTAATTCTAATCACAAATCTCAACCAACACCGTCTTTCTCACAAACCAACCCTGAGTGGTGTATAAACCTTATGTTTATGTGGGTATACTGAACTTAAATAATTGTATGTGTTGTCATGCCATGAGAGACAGCTTGTAGGATACTCATATTAATTTATTAGGTACGCCACCCCGTTCACGAAAATGGATCGCTCCTACAGACAGTGAGTCACATGGCCGTGGCTTGCTATATAAAGCAGGCATCGAGGCATTCAGTTACTGTTTCATTGACCGTTAGAATGGGCTAAGCGACTTTGAGCGTGGTATGATCATCGGTGCCAATGTGGAAAAACATTGCCTGGAACATGAAAGTGAGTTCAGTTTACTTGAGTGGCCTACGCAGTCCCCAGACCTCAACCCAATAGAGCATCTTTGGGATGAGATGGAATAGGCTGTTCGCAGCATGAATGTACTGCCGTCCAATCTGCAGCAACTGCGTGATGCCATTGTGTCAGCATGGACCATAATCCCTGTGAAATGTTTCCGACACCTTGTAGATTGCCCCGAAGAATTCAGGTTGTTCTGGAGGCAAAGTGGGGTCCGACCCAGTACTAGATGGGTGTACCTAATAAAGTGTATATTGACCATCAGTGGAATGTAACATCACTGATTGTGATCATTTAGGAACAACAAGACATTGAACTGTTGTTAGAATAATGGGCTTTTTTTTTATTTTTTTATTGCTCTATCCTGCTCCCATATCTTTTTGTGCTATCTTGCCAGTTCCTATGGTCATTGTTAGCCAACAAATCTGAGATCGGGCTAGAATTGCTCCTCCTTTCTTTTTAAAAAGTCCTTCACCTGAATACTTCATCAGCATTGTCCTCCTGCAAAATTGGATCAGTGATAAAATGCAAGGTATGTCTGCCTCCTATGTCAATACTGAATGTTTTGTAATGAGAGAAGGGGGGTTGAAGGTGACCCCATTGGGTTTGAGCTGGAGTAGGAGGGAATGCAAGAGAGGGATTTGAGAGAGGGGCAGAGGTCAAGAGAGGAAGGCTTGTGGAAGAGGAAGAGGAATTGATCAAATGGATTGGCTGAGTTTATGTTTGATGGTGGCGTCAGCTTAGGTTGGGGTAGTTAGAAAGAAAGAGATGGAGGGAAAGGCTGAGACAAAGTGAAGATGTTACATTGACTGTATGGCCCTTGGTGTGTGTTGCAGATCAGACCTGACTTTCTTGAATATCCCTGGATTTCCCTGAACATGGATTTGGAGAGAATTTGTGCAGACAAGTATGTATGGCACTTTCAATGGAGAGTTAGATATAGAGTTTCACGACAGTTCTTTATGCCTATAGCTCTATTGTAACTTAGAGAAAAGCTGAAGGGGGCTCGATCCTCGATCTGCGGTGCAGAAGCGATTGTTTAACGACCTGTACCACAAAGCCTGGGGCTCAGGTAGAGGTAGTAGCATTCACATATGCCACGCTAGTGCACTTGTTTATCACAGAATGTCATACAAATGGTACATTAAAATGGAATTGTACTGACTCTTTGAAAGGTACACGGTTGGTTTAGAAAAAAAGTTATCACACCCCTTTATGTAGAGTTGTGTGACTGCGAATGTATCTCACAGTAGATCAAATGTATTACCCAAGACAAGTGTTTTAAGTAGATACTAATTGCCCTATTTGTCACCATTGTACCTTGTTGTCTGTCATTGTTATCCACACCCCTTCAGTTTCACTCTAAAATGATCATAGAGTTAACAAATGAGGTGCAAAATAATAGGGACATAAGAAACAATACAATAGTCATCAAACTTGGGGCGGTGTATAGGCCTATAGTTGTAATAGCCTACAACACACACCACTTGTCATTAGCAGTATAGACAAAGTGGAGTCGGGGAGGGGATGAGTGGGTTGGGCAGAGGGGCGTGGTAATCTCGGCGGCGCCACTTTAAAAAAACAGTCGCGTTGATATGTCAATCTAGACAAGACCCAGACAGACCTCCGCCCGGGGGCCCAGCCGTGAGAGCCGCGTCACTATTGGCTGAGAGACGCCATCCCTTTGAGACTGGAGCTCGGCGAGATACTCACGCGCACAATATCTACCCTCTTTTGTTATTGTACGGAGCGCGAGGGTAGGCTTCCGGGAGGAGCAGGCTGCACGAGCGGAGACAGCGAGGCTGATGGTCATATCGACAGGGATAGAAACAGATAGCCCAGGAGGGGAGGAAGGGAATTCGGATTATTAGCTACCTCAGTGCACCACATTCACCACTACTTCTCTTCTAATCCCTCAACACTCCGGTTGATGTGTAAGTATAGTCAATTTATCAAATTATGCAGCTTCTTCTCGTCACGCGAGCTCTCCAGTCTCCAATCTTCAAGCTTACTAAATAAGATATGGATGTTGAGGAGATTTCTGTACCCGGTCCAGACAAGCAAAATAGCTTGATTACTCGCTAGTTGTATCAACCAGACAAATGTCTGGGGAGTGTGTCTGTCTGTCTTGGGTTTTATGAGATGCTTGTTTTAGCTGCTTTTATTCCGAATGATTTGGTCCAGAAGTGATATCACTGGCTGCATGACTAGTTGATATGACATGTTGCCCTCTATCTTATCAACTTCTAATGTTCTATTCAAAGATGCTACTGTAATGAGTTACAATGTAGCGCCTGCTTTCGAATGATTAGATTGATACAATGCTGGAAGCGTTTTATCATCCCTACTAGGATTTCTTAAAATGTTTAGACGGTAGCCTAGACTTGGTGACGCGATATGACCAAATATGGTGTGGCAGTGTTTACGTATCCGCGGAAGATCCTGGTAAAGTGAATGCATGGCTTGAAAATTGGTCAGATTGAGTTACAATAATGCATTGTAAGGGTCGGCCAAGAAGGTTACAACAGCAATGCTGTGTTTTGGTTGTAGCCAATTATTATTTTTTTCATTCCTTGAGATGGGTTTATAGTCAAGTGCAGGTGCACCAGACACTGACATAATACAGTACATCTTCAATTGGCAAATTGTATTTGGGCGCTAGGGACCTATGTATTGTGAGCTTTGCTGGATAGGAAATGTTATTGGCAACATCAGCTGTTTTATGATTAAATGTCAGAATGCTCACTACTTGCTACATAACAGCA